GTTAGTCACAAACACCCAACATTAAAAGTCAGTTATGTTTAGTCACAGTGATCAATTCACTCAGTTAGTCACAAACACCCAACATTAAAAGTCAGTTATGTTTAGTCACAGTGATCATTACTACTCGATTAGTCACAAACACCCAACATTAAAAGTCAGTTATATTTAGTCACAGTGATCATTACTACTCGGTCACAAACACTGAACACTATAAATGTCGATTCAGACAAACACCTTACCGATTTGTCCGTCCTGAGATCTTTATTGTGGATAATTTCATGTTTTGGTGACAAAGTCATGTTGTCATTCAAGCATGTTGGTAATGCCACATAGCCTTTAACCTAGAGAGAGGGGGAGCATTGTAAAATGGAAACTAGTAAGTTTTAAACCCCTGGAAATTTCTAAACCAGAAACATAATTCAAATATGCAGTAATAAGAGTATTCCTATGACTTGTATTGCTATAGACTGTCCTTTGCACACATACAGTGACTTGAAACAGAGAACAAAACAAGAGGCCCAGAGAGTCTGAATGGCTCACCTGGATAGTTAAGCAACCACGGGAAAACATTCTTCTTAAAGCTGACAGTGCAAGTTAAAAAGCTTTCAATTGAGATTGAAAAAAAATAGTTTATGTTTTTCTGGTTTTGAGATCTTCCCCATCTCTTCTTCCTTCTACCATTTCTAAGGAAGTGCCGACATTTTCGTTTATTCTTGCTTGGTAACGAGTATGGGTCTCGCTGGCTATATAAAGCGTAATACCCGTCAAACCGGCTATTATTTGTTCAATATGTGCACAAGATGACACTACTTTACTATATTTTTACCAACATTTTGTATCCGATCAGTTGAATAAAATTGAAATGGAACACATCAAAGTAAGCATTTATCTAAGAAAAGTGAAAAACAGTAGTAAAATACGACCAATTAAAATATCTAATGCACAATCCCTGCCCCCCGCCCCCGAAAAAAAAAAAACGGCCCTGAAAGAAGTAAACATAAGACGAATGCTGATGCCTACCTTTCAGATATCCAAATAATGATAACCTCTGGTGTAAAAACAATACCAATTCCAATCATTTCCATGAGAACGTTTCAATTATCAAATTTCACATTGTTGACTACACACCTGGGAGTGTCGCATTTTGCACGTGTTGTGCTAGTAAAGCGTCTATACGACAAAGACTATGAGTTCATAATAAAGTTTTGTGTGTTGGTGCAGTTCTATGTACGAGGAAGACCGATGATATATATGGGATTTATAGAAGTATGTTCAGTAATATACCTTATATTTTGGATACACAACTCTCAAGAATGTGCAACCAGCTTGACAGTGTTTCAAAGTATTCAGGTGAGTGTGTTTGATTTTTGATATTGGTTGCCGATCAGGGTACATGGTGCATTGAATTGCATGACGGTCAATTGTAGAATGATAACCGGTTTGACAGGTAATGCGCTGTTTATACCCAGAGACCCATACTCATTACCAAGCAAGGAAAAAACTAAAATGTTGGCACTTTCTTAGAAACGATAGTCGGAAGATATGGGGAAGATCTCAAAACTAGATTTCTTTTTTCTTCTTTTCTCAATTGAAAGCTTTGTAACTTGCACTGTCAGCTTTAAATATAATACCTTAACTATTTCAAAATATTGCCTCTGTCTTTCAGCAACAGCTGTCCCTCATTCCAGGTTCCTTCTTTCTGCTCCCAATGAAGTGGGGTGGATTTTAAACATTTACTTTAATTTCTCCTATTGGGCCCTTCCCCTTTGCCCGAGGGGTGTCACACCCTTTGTTTATAGAAGGATGCTCTCGAAATAATTTGGTTAAAACCCCTCAAATCATACAGAAACCAAAAAGATTTATCTCAAGTTCCCCTGTTGGCCTATACAAAATTGATCCACTTTTGCCCAACATAAAATTTCATGCAAATTCCTCTGATCGTACTTAAGGAGAAGGATTCTAAACATTTATGACTATGTTCCCTCTGTTGGGCCTAGCCCTCTGCCCCCAGGGAGCCATACTCTTCAAAATCCCTCCCATCAAACTGAAGGAGAAGGAATTTTAAAGATTTACCTCGATCATCTTCCCCTATTGGTCCCCAACCCAATGGTCCAGTGCACATGGGGCCATACCCTCCATTTATACAAAATTTAGTCCCCTTAGTCCATGGATGCTCAACATACTATTTGTTTAAATATCTCCAATTGTACTCAAGGAGAAGGATTTTAAACATTTATGAACTCGCTCACCCCTGAAATTTCATAATGAACTATTCCAACCTTTGAATTGGAGGACTTCATATGTGTCAACAGGTGTGAATGCGTTAATATGGTCCCTCTATTGGGCCCTGCCCTCTGCCCCCCCCCAGGGGAGCCATTCTATAAAATTGAGTTCCCATTGACCAAAGATGCTCTGGACAAAATTTGGAGAAGGATTGGTCACTCTGCCCCCCTAGGGGCCACACCCTTCAATTACACAAAATTGAGTCCTCTATGCCAAAGGATGCTCTTCACAAAATTTGGTAAAAATCCTTCCAATTGTACTAAAGGAGAAGAGATTTTGAAGATTTACCTCAAGTTCCCTCATTGGGCCCCCTCCCTCTGCTCCCAGGGGGGCTACACTCCCATTGGGCCCCCTCCCTCTGCTCCCAGGGGGGTGTAGCCCCCATTGGGCTCCCTCCCTCTGCTCCCAGGGGGGCTACAGCCCCATTTATGCAGAATTATATGGATGGAGGGACGGAACTGACACTACATCTGGGCATAATCTCATCCATCATTCTTATTTTTTTTTAATCTTTTCAGAGAAATGGATTGGATGTTTTGAGATACATCACATCAACTGACCTCACTTTTTACACCTCCAGCATTCACTGATGTGACCTTTCACCTCTTTTTATTAACTGACCTTAAAGATTACCTGATGACCTTGACTTTTATGATAATGAATTCTGATTAAATAACATATCAAAATCCATTCTTACAGTCAATGATCTGTCAACACATTAATTTTAGTAGAGCCCCTGATGTCCCAGAAGATGACCATAACGAGTATAAAGCTAGCTCTACTGAAATCAAACCCACATCCAGCCAATCACCACCTGTACCTATAGCATGTGACCTATCTTACCTGGCCCCAATTGCGAGCTACCTTCTCGTCATCAGTTAGACTGTTCTCTAGACCACTGTCATCCAAAAAGATGGGGTTTGGCTTAGCCAGGCCATAATCACTGTTTACCTTGCCTTTGTAGATATCCCGAAGGTTGACCAATTTTGTGTCACGTCGGTACTTATTTGGTCGGCCATCGTTAAACACAGTATCGTCTGAGAACTTAACACTTTTCTGTTCAGATTGTTCACCTGTAGGTTCAGCTTCCTCGACTGAAACTCCCGACACGAGAATGGGTTTGATTCCTTTAGGTCGGTCCACACTTACACAATTCTGAATATGCTCAGGCACAGAGTTTTTCCTTTCTTTGATTTTCTTTACAGACTTTACTTCACTTCCATTGACCTGTGTCCACTCTTTTGAATTCTCCTCTTTCCCTTTTAATACACCAGATTTAAGATCAAGGTCACCATTCTCCAACGAGGTTATGCCATTTTCATTGGATTCCGAATGAAAATTATCGTCAACTTTGTTCAAGTTTTTTTCATCATCACCCTGAAATGTGTTGTGATTCACATCACCACTGGGTAAGTTTGTCTCCACGGATATCTCCCCTGGATCACTGTTGTCACGGTCACACAGGTCTTTATTTGGATCCGCTACCTTTACCACTGTCACGGTTATAGCATCAAGGTCAGGCCAATCTGATTCATTGTTATTGTTTCGAGAAATGATAAGTTGGGAATCAGTGACTTTACCATCAAAATATTGCACCATACTGTTTACCGAGGTGTGTTCTCCATCCCTGCCATGTGTCGTTTGATTGGTGGTTCTCTGAGTGGCTGATTCTGTCACCACATCTCCCTCAAAACCCTGGTTCTTATATCCATTCTCTATGACAATATCACCAACCAAAACATTCCCATTGGTCACCTTCAAACTCTCCCGTTCCGATCGTGAAGAATTCTGACTATCCCCTTTGGTAACCATACTGTTTGTCTCACCACCTAGAGGACGACTTGCTGACTGATTTCCAGTGCTTTGATTGGCTAGGATCTCTGTGCTGGACTTCTGTTCGTTGTTATTTTCACTGTCCAGTTCACTAGGCCCATGTCCATCACTTTTATGTTTTTCCAAAAAAACAGGGTTGACCCTCACATCTGGACTTCGTTCCCCAGAAATATGACCACCAAATATTGCCTGGAACATAAAATAAACTCTGTCAATTTTTTCTCATTAATCATTTATATTAATCTTAACACCCATTTATTAACTCAAGTGTCAGTATCTAACATTGTAACACACCTATGACATCAGTGAATTGTCCATCAAGTACCTTGTCTGTTGGTCACCCCTGATACATAATTAAGTATGCATTAAGTACCTTGTCTGTTTGTCACCCCTGTTACATAATTAAGAGGGCATTAAGTACCTTGTCTGTTGGTTACTCCTGATACATAATTAAGTGGGAATTAAGTACCTTGTCTGTTGGTCGCTCCTGATACATAATTAAGTGTGCATAAAGTACCTTTTCTGTTGGTCACCCCTGATAAATAATTAAGTATGCATTAAGTCCCTTGTATGTTGGTCACTCCTGATACATAATTAAGTGGGCACCAAGTACCTTGTCTGTTGGTCACCACTGTTACATAATTAAGTGTGCTTAAGTACCTTGTCTGTTGGTTACTCCTGATACATAATTAAGTGGGAATTAAGTACCTTGTCTGTTGGACACCCCTGTTACATAATTAAGAGGGCATTAAGTACCTTGTCTGTTGGACACCCCTGTTACATAATTAAGAGGGCATTAAGTACCTTGTCTGTTGGACACCCCTGTTACATAATTAAGTGTGCTTAAGTACCTTGTCTGTTGGTTACTCCTGATACATAATTAAGTGGGAATTAAGTACCTTGTCTGTTGGCCACCCCTGTTACATAATTAAGAGGGCATTAAGTACCTTGTCTGTTGGCCACCCCTGTTACATAATTAAGTGGGGATTAAGTACCTTGTCTGTAGGTCACCCCTGTTACATAATTAGGTGTGCATTTAGTACCTTGTCTAATGGTCACTCCTGCTACATAATTAAGTGTGCATCATGTACCTTGTCTGTTGGTCACCGCTGATACATAATTAAGTGTGCACCAAGAACCTTGTCTGTTGGTCACCCCTTATACATAATTAAGTGTGCATTAAGTCCATTGTCTGTTAGTAACCACTGTTACATAATTCAGTTTGCATCACGTGCCTTGTCTGTTGGTCACCCCTATTACATAATTAAGTGTGCATTAAGTACCTTGTCTGTTGGGCACCCATGTTACATAATTAAGTGGGCATTAAGTACCTTGTCTGTTGGTCACCCCTGATACATAATTAAGTGTGCATTTAGTACCTTGTCTAATGGTCACTCCTGATACATAATTAAGTGTGCACCAAGTACCTTGTCTGTTGGCCACCCCTGTTACATAATTAAGTGTGCATTTAGTCCCTTGTCTAATGGTCTCTCCTGATACATAATTAAGTGTGCACCAAGTACCTTGTCTGTTGGTCACTCCTGTTACATTATGTAACTTGTCTGTTGGTCACCCCTGTTACATGATTAAGTGTGCATCAAGTACCTTGTCTGTTGGTCCCCCCTGATACATAATTAAGTGTGCATCAAGTACCTTGTCTGTTGGTCACTCCTGTTACATAATTAAGTGGGCATTATGTAACTTGTCTGTTGGTCACCCCTGTTACATAATTAAGTGTGCATCAAGTACCTTGTCTGTTGGTCACCCCTGTTACATAATTAAGTGTGCATTAAGTACCTTGTCTGTTGGTCACCCCTGTTACATAATTAAGTG